TTGGCGGGAAATGCGAATGCATTACCATTTCTACGGAACAAGTCGCCACATGTCCCAACCCCCAACCTGGAGGGCCAGGAGAATGTATTCGTCAGACCTTTAATCATTGACCAACCTGGAATGAGAGACTCTGTGAGTTTCGCGGGACACTCTCCAGTAGCTAACTCTATCGCTGAGGTGCGCAAACCGTCACACCGCGGTAAGGTACGGTCTCTTCGTGACGGATAAGAAATGACACTTAAACTCGATGGTGTGTAAGCTAGGCTCTGTGTTAATTCTTCTCCAAAGTACTTGTTATATTGGGCAATGAAGGCAACCAGTTGATTTCCAACCACCTTCTTCTTAGTGATATTTTGATGCGCTAACTCATTTCCTATGTTCACTTCAGTGCGACCTTATCCTACCTAACACTACGCATCAAGGAAGTTTTAGCTCTCCTGCCCACAGGTACGTAAGCATCCAAACGCCTAACAACATTAAACTGATGCCTCCCTCCAGTTGGTACCTTGACTCTCCCTGCCAAGATGAATGGGCGCCTTTGGCCGTGCAGTTGGGCAAGGATCTTTTAGCTGTACGTATGTTTGATGATATATGTACCTCGCAGTTTACCAGGCCCACGGATCACGAGCCGAATGTTAGTCGTTCACGTGAGACAGTTTCCTCTGGCTGCAATTCACCTGGCAATGACGGCCTCATTGTGCAATTTAAACTAACAATTCGAGGTGTGCATTATGCTGTCAGGTGTCTTCTCTTGTTTGACACCACTGAGCAGCTCGCGATGTACATGTGTGACACAAACCGTACGAATGCGAATCTTTTAACATTCCCCGACACTTTTAATAAACAATTGGTGCCCAAACAATTATCCGAATGCTTCCGGAGTGATATCAAGGGTTTTGTGAGAAGACACGCCCAAATGACGTAAGTAAAATAAAATCCATTGCAACAAATGCTCCTTTTATCCATTTATACTAAATTCCGATTATAATTCTTATATGAGGGCACTAGGTTCTTCAAGCTCCGTGAGAATCAGCGGAGGTCAAAGGGTTTGTCTGCCAAGACGGCTACTTAAAAATCCGCTCCTTGAACGGTGAAGAAGAATGTTTTCATATTTGCCCACTCAGGCAGAGAATATCAGCATTATATGAGTTATTCTGGCGCATATTTTGCATAAACGAGCTTAATGTAGGCCGCGGCGACTTCCACAAATATAGTAGCTGCAGGACCACGTGCAAAAGTTGTCTAGTTTGAGTAATTCACATTTTTGGTAGGCGCAACTATGTACCCTTAAGCATCGATTTTTAATTCCGAATATTTTTGACTCAGAGAAGTAGCCCAATTAGGCAAGTTAACAATGCAGCGATCGACCAGTCCAACTTCAACAGCTATGCGTCTATCATAATTAACCCGTAGATGCCGTTCCTGCTACCACAGTATTCGTTTCTAAAATCCCACTGTTACTTGTTGCTCAAAATCTGGTGAGTTGGATCTCTGTTACCCAACGTTTCGGAAACTTTCAACTTTTGGATAAATATAACCGTTTTTTCACCCCAAATCCGGAGATACAGGAGATATCTAGGCATTCAACTATGGATAAAAAGGCTGGCAAAGACCTGTTTCCGCACAGCTGGCACCCTCCAGCACTGTTCTTTTGGTTCGTTAGTGGCGCTTAGACCGCACTGTCATAATAAGTTGCTGAAGATCCAACCAATCAAGACGCACCTGGGTGACGCACCTAGTTAACATATATACCTTAGTATATAGACGTTTGATTGAGTAATTGTTTTACGGGGCCTATTAGCCCTAACCAGATTGGATTTGGCTCATCCACCTAGGCCATGCACGTTCGAGTGTATCCCACATTAGTTTCAGTCCTCAACTTGCAACTAGTGCATATTAGATTATTCTTCATTAGTAATACAGAATAGGTATCTCTGCGCATCTGCAAACGTAACGCTGACGTGCGTGCCCTTATATTTGTTGTTCACTTGTGCGCTTACAAAAATCAGCACGTAAATATCGGGGACGCCAACAGCCTTCTTTTACTGCCAGCAATTTAACTAACAAAATAGCTATTTCAAATAATTAATCTGAGCTTGAGTTTCAAGGACAGGGGTAATGTGTCGGCGGATGTCGAACTGCGCGCCATCGTTAATCACAACCTCTTTTGTCTACTTTCAGAAGCGGCGGCGGTAACCATAGTAGAAAATGAAGACATCCCTGAATACCAGACAGATGAGATTGATCGCCCTCCCCAGTGAATACCACCGTTTGATGTCTATATGCTTGTAACCCTGTTCCCCGTTATTGACACTCTCTCCTGAATCCCACGTGTTCAGAGGCTCAAAGAATAAACCGTTGAACTTACGCTCCTGTGCTTCCATGTGAACAGTTGGGGAGAGTTACCAACTTACTGTTACATCCAACTAATACTTCACATTCTCCTTTTCAGCCCACCCGGCTTTTATGCTCAAAACATCCACACAGTGAGTTTGGATACTTTTATACACGCAGACATATTACATAACTGGCGACCACGCCAGGATTCGTAACAATGATACGTACCCGATCCCACGGAAAAATTGAAAATGAACCTGTCGCATCCAGCGGTTCATTTTGGTCCTTGTGCTACAGAATGTTACAATCGCTTTTCTTACTTCTGTCTTCGGTTGTTAGCGCCGGATTCATGCACATTCGATCTCCCCCACTATCCCACCCTGAGATAAGTTCTGCCTGGGTGACAATGTTTGCCGCTGGGTGGCGAACACATCAGAGTACGTCCTGCTGTTTCCTGCCAGTGAACGAAAGCGTGTGCTGCTTTCCTTATTGGATGGAAAAGCTCGGGA